CCTCCCCACTCTGGGACTGGGCCGCCGCACGCATTAACCTGCTGGCGGAGAGGAAGGAGAGGCAGACTGGGGGCAGAGAGGAGGCTCCAGCTGCTGGTGGCAAGTAGAGGAGGAGCAGGTGAGCTGAGGAATGACAGGAGGAGCGGAGGAGGACAAAATGGGTGCCCCCCTAGCGTAGCCCTTGTGAGCAAATGCCCCCCCCTCGCCATGCCACTGGCCGCAGGGGATGGGGCGAAGTGAGGCAGTAGCCAGCTTCTAAGCCAGCTCCCCATGAGCACCAGATCCCACAGAGCTGGTACACCCTTGTGCTGCTGCCTCTGCTAGTAAGCCAGCTCTGTGGAGCCACCTGCCTCCTGTCCCCATTGCGGTCTCCCACAGAAGCAGCGGTGGGGGAGTAGGCAGGAACCAGTGCTCATGGAAAGCCAGCTTCACAGAGCTGAACGCCCCCTACTCCTCCTCCCCAACCCGTGCTGCCTCAGAGAAAAAAATAATTTCAGTGGTTACACGTTTACACAAATCCAAGATTATTAAAATCCTGAGCCACCTGCACAAAACTAGGCACAAAACTTCCAATTCAGTTTTAAAATAAATTCTAAATGTCCCAATAGGCTTTTTGGTGACTTAAAGATCAAACGTGCAGATGATTTAAAATTCTGAATGGGAATAAATATGGTTTATTTCTATTACATCAAAGCCAAGCTGAGGAAGATACACAAATCCAAGATTATTAAAATCCTGAGCCACCTGCACAAAACTAGGCACAAAACTTCCAATTCAGTTTTAAAATAAATTCTAAATGTCCCAATAGGCTTTTTGGTGACTTAAAGATCAAACGTGCAGATGATTTAAAATTCTGAATGGGAATAAATATGGTTTATTTCTATTACATCAAAGCCAAGCTGAGGAAGAGAACGCACTCTTTCTAGCCAGACTCTTTTTTGCTTGGAACCAGTGTGTAAATAACACTATTGAATATACTTAAACAACAAATGGTCTGGTAGCACTTTATAGACTAACAAAACATGTAGATGGTATCATGAGCTTTAGCGGACACAGCCCACTTCTTAGTTAGTCTAGAAAGTGCTACCAGATCATTTGGGGTTTTTTTTAAGTTTATCCTGTACAGACTAACTCGGCTACCCCCTAAAACTATTGACTATGTAACTCTAACCTGTCACACCCAGAAAATTGGTAGATATTCAGTAATAGAAACAATCTTAATCAACGTCCAATAGATTTTATAATATATGGCTACAACTTTTGAAATTGAACAAAACAAATGGGTACATAAGAGTATTACCAAACATAAACATGTCGTTTAAAGGTAACAAATTACTTATTATGAATAAGATATTTTAATACTTGGACACAATATTCAAGCAAGTTCCCCATAGACCAGGACCCAGCAATTCAGGGACAGTAGACCCTGCCATAAAAAGTGATAAAGCCATTAGGATGATCAGTGGCCTCCAACCATACGCACTTTGAGATCCATGAGTTCTGCACATGCGGATCAAAAATCAAGTAGCTCATCTAATGCACTAAATGTCCAAACAACAATTGTGCGTGTGAAAAAGAGACCATCACTATGCTCTTGAGTGAACGCTCACAGAAAAATGATAACACCATATCTCTTGCAGGCAAATATTTTTCACAAGATGATTGTTCCATAAATGACCTCTCATGCCCCATTTTCAAATGAAATCCACACAATACCCTCAAACACCACCACTGGTGTGATAAATTCATAATTTTGTTAGACATAGAAATTATGAACTCAATAAATATGCTGAATTTATGGCTCACTGGAAAAACCTAGACCCCACTAACCTGCCTTTCTTCTCTGACAGCAGAGGTGTTAACTGCCCACTTTACCTTGAACAGTCAGTCACTTACTACATGTCAACACCTAATCAATCAGTTCCACTTTGCATTTAGTGGACACATGGAGTGCCACCTGTCTGTCCAATAGGAGATATTATCTTACCCACCTCTTCTCTCTGATAATCAAATAAAAGACATAAAAAGCAGAATCTGCAGTACATTAGATGTTTTGCTTATATTTTGGTCATCTTTTAAGAACACTTATTTTTCTTATTTTCTTCAATTGTAAACTCATTAGTATTAGTAAAAAGTCTCAGAGGGATAAACACGTTAGTATGTAACTTTAAAAAGTAGTCTTGTGGCACCTTAGAGACTAACAAATATATAGGATCATGAGCATACGTGGATATGAAGTCAGTTTATAAAGTATCTTTGGTCATCTTATACTCTACCTCATGTTGATCAGCACCTGTTCAAAAAATAGCCTCAATTAATTCAGAGCAACTGTTTGCAGAGTAAGGAATAGTATAAGTAAGGGTATTGGAATATAGCCTTTTTCATTTTTTGCTATTTTGTTTTTAAAACTTGTTTTGCTTATGAATTAATTTTATTTAGCTTTAGCATTATTTTAAAAGCCCATATAAAAGCTCTGCATACCCTGAAAATAATATTTGTGCTATTGCATATTTTGTGTAAGTCTAACATACAAATGGAGATAATCATTAACCTATGCAAGCCAACAAACCAAAACGGAAAAGCTCCAGAAAAGACCTTCAGTTGTACACAAGAACCTACTCCTTCCTGTAAACCACATCAAACAACTGGTATTTTTGTAACAGACTCATTTTATCAAGTGCAAGCTATTTCAGATCAAGGAGAAGAGCAAGTTTCAGAATCTTTTTGGGACCTCACTGAGTATACCAGCTCTCTAATTGTAATGAGGATGATCCAGCTCAAACTCCTCTTTCTAGTGGAGGTATAGCAGTAGGACCAGGAAAGAGAGTCTTATCAGATAAGCAAGTTTAGCAGCAAATGCCAAGGCAAAAGGCTTAAAACCATTTCAGCTAGGTTCTTAAGCACAGCTTACCTTGAAGCATGTGACTAGTGAGGTGGATTCTTGTTGAATTAGAAACTTAAAAATTCTTGAAAATCTTTTATGGGAAATAGACTGTGAATTGATATTTAAAAATTCTAGTAGTTACATAGGGCATTACAAAGAAAAGTGAAACATAAGATATCACAAAAGTGTTTACATTAAATACAACAGAATAAAAAACAATCAAAGAAATAATCCACTGTCAGTCTAATGTAGTAGTGTAGAACTATGTTGAATAAGTGAAAAACAAGTTTTCAAGAAAAGCAATGGAATAAAAACTTGAAATTTGCTTGGGCAGCTTAAGATCCATTTTATGTCCATTTAACAAATATTCAAGCAAAATATAATATTTGTTCATGGAGGGGAAGTTTCAAATACTAATATATAAACCCAAATACTCATAACCTTTATGTACAGGTGTAGTACATACTATCAGAGAAAAGAAACTGCCCCCCCCCCCAGTAAAAAAATTTGGCCAGGCCGCTCTTGTTCTGCAGTCCTCCTTGAGAGAAACCGGCCGCACCCTTCCTGTATACCATTGCCTTTAGAAAAAGGAAAGGTGTGAAAAGGGGAAAATAGCCTCAGACTCTCCCACCCATCACCTTGGCGTGAGAACTGCGGGGCTTACCTGGTCGCATGAAACCTGCACAGTTTCGGCCCAACCCCTGGGACACAGACCCCCCCACTTGGTGACCATTGGGCCATATATGGTAATATGCAAGCGCGGGAAAGCGATGTGCAGATTTGGGGATAAATACCCATGGCACAGTTTGCTCTAGGAGGTCTTCGCAACACACGTACCACCATGCGTGTGCCTTCTCGTATACTTCAAAGCGCTGCCGGCCTGATCAACCGACAAGCCACCTCCCCCGACTCTCAGGCGTAACCAAGGCCTTTGCAACCGAACCGACATCTGTGAAATGTTCCGTGTGCTGTGTAAGTTGGTATGTATGATTTGATTTTTTCCTGTTGTATAAGCTTAGTGTTGTAGTTGTTTTTGGGTAGTACATAAGAGTTTGTAGTTATCACTGTTATTTAATTACTGTAGCTGGATATTTTAAGATTAGAGACTATTCCCCTTGCCATTCCCATCCCTATATCTCTGACACGTTTTACTAGAAGCCATAGAATAAATATAAATACTGTAAATTCATTATTAACACGGTCTATTAAAAATCTTAGAATAAATACTATAAATTCACCTCTGTCATAAATAAATATTTTTTATTTGATAAAACTGTCCACCTGGCTCTGTCCTTCCCCCCTTGGGTATTCATTATCGGACCTGTGATTCTCGCCACACATACATGTAATAAGAATGAGGGATTTTCACAAATGTACTAACATTTAAATGAT